AAAAGGGCTGGATGTTTGTGAATGCATAGGGTCTGTGCGGCATGCGGGCGCTCTAAATATGCGGCGAACCGAAAGTCCTCTCTAGAGGTTGGTGGTAAGGGAAGAAGAGTGGAAGATCCTCGGACTCGTTCCACCAGGTTACTTTCCTTCAAAATTGTGGGTGGAACTGAAACGAAGTCGTACTGTCATCTCTATGGTGCTCAAGGCTCTTTCCAACGATACGCGCAATCTTGCTCTCGTTGCCACGATGAATTTCGTGGGATTGTTCAGGTGTTAATGTCAGGCAAGTGAGATAAGTCATAACAACTCAACACGCCATTACTGATGCTGTAAAAGTTCCATGGAAAAACAGATATTCAGCTTAAGTTATTCTTGTCACTTCCATGAATTCATTAAATAAAGCATAAAAATAATTTTTACTATATCTTAGCTCTTTCTTCAGACATCCCGTATTCCTAGAACTACAGCAAGTATTTGAGACGTAATAAATGTATTTAACAAAAGATGTCACTGAGTTGACTTTTCTGAAATTCAGAAGTCTCACTTACCGTAGTTAAAATAAACACATACTGAGCCTCACAGGATTCACTAATGACAGTCTACAACGAGAGAGTCTCAAATGGAAATAAATCGAATTGTGGAAACAACTCTTAAGAAAACAAAACAAACTTTGAATAATGGCATCTTCTTGCCAATCCATTTGGTACTTAAATGTAGAAAACGCGGTAAAAAATCAATAGAGAAAGCCTTTATCTTGTCTTTTGATCCATTAATTTAACAAACAAATAATTTTTCAGTGACTGTCCTTCTCTAATTTCGGGAGATAAAGTATATCCTAAGGAATTTTTTATTGTGCTGTCTAGCGGAAAATGAAATAAATAAAAAATGCAGAAAATATTTTAGCTGCGGCTAACTGCACCTCATTATATCCGGCACCAGGGGTCATTTATCTTTTATATGAATGGCAACAATGCTTTCCTTTTTTATGGGGGGGGAGAGGGAGGTAATTTCAGTATTATGTCTTGTCCTCTCAAAGGTGTTTACATCTACATGTTTCTCACATCTATATAAACATATTTAATCTTTTTGGAAACTGAAAAGGATTTTAAACGTTTCAGATATTTTTTTACGACAGCAAATGCTTTCCCACGCAATGAAAAACATACTCCGCAATAAAAAAATGAAAAATATTTGCCGTATGTATTTTAAAAACAAAAAAATTATTGATGGTAGTAAATAACATTTAAGACTTTTAAAAACTTTCTAGTGATTATTTGCTTTTTCGATGCAGGAAACACTTAAAAAAAAAAAAAAAAAAAAAAAAAACGATCTCCCGAGAGTAGAGCCACATTATCCAACTGCTAGTTGCACACGTACTAGTATATCTAATACGACAACATGCATAGGGGAATGTGATAATTCCTTACATTCTCTCCTATTAAAAATGCAATTGGGAAGAGGTAATAACAAAATATCAGCCACCATATTTTTGTTAGGGACTACTACAACAACTATTATATTTTTCGGTATGGGAATCGTGACTCATCTCTGTCCTCGAAGAGACTTGAGCCAGGGATCTTCCATTTCTTATCTGTACGTACTAACCAATTATACCATGCTAGCTTTCAAAGACGGATACGATTGTTCCTTATAACTTTATTTATTAACATAAAAAATGAAGTTAAAAGAAATCACGACATATCGAAGTGGAATTATAGCATACTTATGACACGTAAGAAAACATATTACCATATTATCAAGAAAACATATTATGTTTAATGATATTTTCATAGCTTTAAAATAAAATTTCCAACTGTTGTAGAATTATGAGGTTTTTTTGAGGTGGAGACGTAAAACACTGCGCAATGTTCTCGTCGGGACTCGAACCCTGGCCCTCTCGAATAAGCGACAAGTACGCTTCCAATTACACCACAAAAGCATGCGCAAAGAAGGGAGAAAATACTTTATAGTCTGGAAACTGAAAAGCAACATGTATGTCAGCGTAATGTTTCTTTTTATTTCCTTGTACGAAGTAAAAAAGGAAGTATTGTAATCGCGAAAAGTTTCGGACAGCATATTTCAACGAAAATATCCATTTTGATCGCTATCGAATGCAATTTAACGATGTTTTTGCGTGACATCTGTACGGAAGGACAGAATAAAATAATCTTTTCCTCCAAAAAAATTATAAAACTGCTTTAAAATGAATTCTGAAGAGAATTTTTCGTGGCGTCTGTATGTATGCACGTATCTCGCATAACTCAAAAACGAGTAACCTCAGAACGTTGAAATTTGCAATCGGTTGGCTGCAATCGGCCTCACCAAACGTATATAAATATATTTATATATATATCCACTCTGTTAACCGGCTGAGTGATCTCAGTTTCTTACTCTTATATGTTTGTAAATTGTGCATTTTTTGCTTTAAAAATGATTGAATTATGTTGTTCTTATCTTCCGGTTAAGGATTTGTGCCTTTAGTAAATCTGCAAGCAATATTTGTACAATTATCAACAATGTAAAAGCTGTTTAAGTGCGGTTAAGCCTAATTTTTAAATAACATGGCTGACATACAGGGGTTGGACAAAAATATGGAAACACTTTTAAAAAAACATGTTTCTTTGTTTAATATGGTGTAGGAAACCCGTTGGCATCCAAAACAGCTTGCAGTCTCTCGGAATGGATAAATACAATTCCTGTATGGTGCCAAGGGAATATTATACCATTTTTCCTGCAAAACGGTGGCAAGTTCATAACGATGTTGGCGGTGGATAACGAGAACGCACTTTCCGTTCCAATGTAGACCACAAGGTTTCGATAATATCAGGTCTGGTGACTGTGGTGGCCAGGGATATGGGACAACTCATTCTCGTGCTCAGAAAACCATTCCTGGACAATGTGAGCTGCGTGAACAGGGGCTTTGTCGTCTTGGAAGACACCATCACCATCGGGGAACAAAGTTGTACCATGGATGAACTTGATCGGCCAAAATGTTCACATAAGTCTTGGCAGTCATGTGCCCTGAAACAGTTATCATGGGGCTAGCAGAGAACCACGATATGGCTGCCAAAACCATAACAGAACGCCTGCCATGTTTTACTCTTGGCAACAAGCAGTCTGCATTATAGGCTTGAGATGGCGTTCTCCAGACGTAAACTCGGCCAGAAGTGGGAAACAATGTGAAAGAAGACTCGTCAGACCATATTACTCGCTTCCACTGCTCTGTAGTCTAGGCTTTATGACTTAAACACCACCTTTTCCTGTTACGGGCATTAGTATCACTGATGAGTGGCTTCTCAATTGCAGCACGGCCAGCAATTCCCTGTTTATGAAGCTCCCTTCTAATTGTTTTGGTACTCCCAGGTTCGGTAACACAACATTCATTTCAGTAGTAACTTTTTGCAGCTGTTGGTCTTATTTTTCGTCACAATTGCCCTTAATGATCGTCTGTCACGATCACTCAGGACACACTTTCGTCCGCGCTATGATTTAGCAGATGATGTTTTTCCGCTTTTCAAATATGCGGAATAAATCTTCGATACAGTACCTCTTGAACACCTCGGCTACTCTCACTAACACCTCGGCTCTAAACACCTCGGCTACCTTGCTTACGGAAGCACCTACCATATGTGCTCCAACAATTTGCCCACGTTCGAAGTCTGTTATTTCTGACATAATGCAATTACAACCTCACATAACAGTACTCCGACAACAACTGAACTGTTTAGCACATTTACGAAGTTGTATAGGTGGCGTCAGTAGTCAAAAACGCCAGCGCCACCTACATATTTCATTAAAATCATTCTTTCTTTTCAAATATGCATTTCATAAGGTGTTTCCATATTTTTGTCCATCCACTGTATTTGTTTACATTTGCAACAACAAAATAGTAGACTTGTTGCCAATCTAGAGGGACTAAGCTTCGCAATAACAAAGATAACGCCTTCATTTATTATTGCGAATTAAATAATGGTTAATCCTTTTTGGAATTTTTTCCAGGAAATAAGTGTTTAAGATTTACTTCGTAATTTTTCATATAGATATTTTGAGTTTTTATTCATTTTTGCCTTGTCGCGAAATAAGAACTGAATTAATTGAATGAGAAATAACTAAACCGTCTGTGAAAAACTGTTTTTTTTTTTGTTTTTGTTTTGTTTGATTAATTTCTTTTATACATCGTTCTAGATTTATTATAGTATTTGAATAGAACATATGGCAACGATTAGATAATTTTTCAAATGATATCAATTTTGTGCATACTGAGTTTTAATATGAACGAAATATAACGCTGTTAAGCAAACCTTTCGCCAGAGTGTCGCTACGGTAAACAAATAAAGAGAATTTTAAAGAGTGCATTTATTCTATTGTGGTCGTAGTGTGGCTATAGACGAAGTAGATTTAATTCAATCCAATAAGTTTAAATGAAATGCAAGAAAAAAATGCGTATAATTTAATATTCCCTACTAGGAAGTCATGTGGTGTATACATCAGATTTTTTTCAATATGTATTCTTTTGGATTTTCCATAAGAATATGATCGTAAGCATATTTTATGTACCTATCAGACATTTTTGTCACATACTTGTAGAAGTTAAAAGAAATTTAGCTGTACATCTAGTTACTGCAATGTATCAATTCAATAAGTGGAGACATAATATTCACAATAAATGCGAAATGAGTACACTGCCAACGTTTTCAGTATTACTTTTCCTTGTGGTATTTGTCATCGCATGAGTATATAAAATTTTTCACTTTGCTTTTTAAAACAAAATACAACTTCCTGTGTTACACACGAAAGGAACACAGAAATTCTACTGTAATCCTAAAAGTTCATAAGAAATCCAAACTCTCATATAGGTTGTTTACGGTGTTTTCCTGGTCAATATTATTAAATTATGCTCCTGGTTCGCTCTGTATCCATTCTGGATTTGAGGCTAAACCAGACTACCTCATTTTCAACAACAACAGCAGTTACAAAGATTAAAGTCGCATATTACTTACCTTACAAACCCTGGCGACTCGGGAGTAGATACTCTTGCCGCAGTTGATATACTCAACGGCGCTCTCCCTGAAGAAAAAGTACACATGTTCTCCAATGTCGTAAGATCCTACGAAGTTCGGCTCTAAAAATGAAAATGACTTTACTTCTCTCACGCTCAAAAAACGTACAATAAATATTTGTTATCTAGAGAATTTATTGATATACCAAACAATATATTGCACATTAAAGATTTAACTTTGTTTTTCAGTAAAAGAAAATTAACCTCGTATATTTATCGGAAAGAGATGTCAGCGTAGTCAATGTTATGTTCTTCAGCAAAGTTATGGAATTATTCATTATGGCAAACCCTTACAAAAGTGTATTACAAAAAGAACAGTTTTCCAGTTATGATTAAAATAACAACACTGAAAAAGAAAAAACTGTACGACTAATTTTTTGTGTACAAAATAATATGCACGGAAAGCCAAACGATAAAAGCCCGAAGACCATGGCAATAAATAATGAAATAAAAATCTGAAAGCTTCAGATTTTATATTCTGCTCAGAGGGGCTTTTTTTAACGTTTTGTGTGTTACTTTTATTTATTAAGTATCACGTTCTTTATGACATTTAATAAATAAAGGTTCTTCATGATAATAAATAAAGGTCCTTCATGATATTTAATAAATATCTTATTCTTCATACCATGCACGTAAAGCATAAAATTCAATTCAACAGCAATATCACAAAATAATTTAAAAAGAGCATATCGTTAGAATTTCCGATACACAGTCCCGTGTGCTGGAGATAAAAATGGTTTTCTTACTCGTACAGTGTTGCTATTGCTTATTTCGAGATCGTTGAGTTTATTAATTTAAAATTCGTTAAAGATTTACAAAATTTTAAATATATAATAAAACAAATTATATAATTATATATAAAAGTCAAAATTCGGGATTCCAGGTGCCCATGTTCAGTTAGAGAACTACTTTACTCAAAATTTGATGGCTGTAGGTACCATTGTTTCTTCACAATGAGAGAAACATTCATGCAGATTCTTCATTATTTAGTTTCTTCTAGCTCTTCTGGACTAACGAACGCCCTTTGGGTAAACATTTTACACGATTATCAGCTACGATAGACCTATATGTCTAAGACTTGATCGCGCGAAACTTAAAAATACAGAACGAAAAATTTTATATTTTAAATGAACTGTTTGAAATGGTTGAACCAAATGGTAAGAAGATAATTACTATAATATTATATCATCGTGAAGTAATACCACATGGAGACCTGCGCACTTATTTAGGAAGGAAAAGATCTGATTATTGAAAACAAAAGCTGCGCATTTATTTCAACGGACTGTTTGCGCACAGAGGCGCGCGACGAACATTTTCTTCATCTGCTAATGCGTTTCATTTTGGCAGAAAGCGAAACTCGTGAAGTGAAAAAAAGAATCACTTCGAACACATTTCCTTCTTGGCGTTTGAAAAAGGCTACAACATACAGAATACTCACTGAAATCTGATCTCTTAAAGCCAACTTTAAAAGTCAAAACAGAATATTATACCATAAAATCTCTGAATATGATTGTAAGAATTTCAGTCTTACTAATCAGTTATTTTATGTTAATTACCTTTGCCGTCTTTCTCGCTTTCCAATTTCCTGCCAGAAAGCAGAAAGAGATGAGGTAGAAAGACATTATTTAAAGAAGGTTTCAGAGGGTAGAATAAGAGCGTGTTCTGCCTGCTGAAGACCACGTCTTCTAACTGATTTTCTTCAGAGCAGTATATCCGCAGCGTTGTGTTATTCTCGTCATTTAGGCTGGTCACATGCATAATAGGTCTGAGCTAACATGCGCGTTTCTCTGTCTGTGTAGCCGTTCCAGTAAATAATCACTACAATTCATAACTCTTCGAGAAAACCAAACTACATAAATAATAAACCAAAAACGAAGATCCACAATTACGTAAAAATTTAAACACTAAGGAAGTATTGCTAATATTTTTACGCAACATGGACGTAAGCTTATTTGCTCTCGGTCAGAAAATAAATACCGAGTTAAGAATGAATTATTGCCATTTAAAGTTGAATGTAAGTACTTACTATCCAGCCATTTGGAATCATACTTGATGGTCCGTTTGAATGGGTGGAGTTCATATCCAGTAGTCAGATTGTACAGGTTTGTCCTAAAGATGACAGTGTCTGCCTTCGTAAATTCGGCCACGGTTCCGCTGTACAGACCAGGAAGACCAGACGGATTACCGTGTTCTTTAAGGAAAAAAAATGAAAAATGTTACTATATTATTAAATATCTGATGTGGACACCATATAACTTCATTGTACGGTCTATTAAATTATACACATTTTTGCTGCACTTTGTTTAAACTTATTTCCGAGAATGTCATTACAGATATATTTATAATTCTAATAATTCAGCTTTCATTTCGTGGCAAAACAGAAATACATAAAAACTCAATTATCGGAAAAACTGTAAGATAGAGAAAAACCTAAAATACCAAATACAGTTAAAACAGCTGGAAAACAATTTTTACAATTAAAACTAGAATTTCTATGCAAAAACAAGCGACTCCGCCAGCTGACAGGAAGACAAAATTTTCCGTGTACAAAACTGGAAGATAACTTTTAGTCACACTGTATTAAAAAACACCGAAACTGGTGCACCAACCGACTAAATACACTATTCTAGTAAGAGTTTCAAAAATATAAACAAATGGCGGTCTCGTTAGGTTTACACCACCTTAAACTTTAAAACTGTTAATAATTGTATAGCTATTGCAGCCAGATTAACTAAAAGCATAAAACACTTAATCAGAACATAAGAACAACATAATTCCAACAATTTTAAAGCAAAAAATATACAATTTACCAACATATATATTTAACGAAAACTGAGCTCACCGAGCCGGATAACAAAGCGACAATATATATATATATATACATATGTTGGTGAAGCCGATTGGAACGAAAAAGGGAGCTGCACAACTATATGTTATAGCAGTCCCATATACAAAATTCCAATGTTCTACGGCGGCTTGTTTTTGAGTTATACGAGAGTATAATTTGCTTGAGTTATACGAGAAACATACGTACGTACAGACGTCACAACGAAATCTTTCTGAATCCTTTTTACAATCCGTTTTGTTAAAAAGAGCCCTCTGTCTATACGTACAGACGTCACGCAAAAACATCGTTCAAATGGATTTGAGAGCGGTCAAAATGAAGAGTTTCGTTGACCCGAAATTTTTTGCGATTACAGTACTTCCTTTACTTTGTACAAGGAAGTAAAAAATGAAAAACTACAAAGTTTTAGCGTAAATAAATACACTAAATGTAGTGCCTCACTAGGACAAAAGTCTGCAAAACAGTGACACTTTTCATTGCCTACATTTTTTTATTTGCCCCAAATAATATTGGAATTTTATTGAAAGATTCCGGTGCGATACTAACATATTTTCTAATTTCATCTGTACTAAAAATGTAAGAATATTTAGTACAGTAGACTCCCTCTTAACCGGCTTACGTTTGACAGAATCTCCGCTTTAACCGTCAGTAATTAATTTAAGTACAAAATTAATAAAATAAGCAAACAAATTAAAATAATTGAAAATTATATAATTCTGTATTTTAAATACGAAATAGAAAATAAATAAACTTAAAAAAGATAAATAAAAGGATCCCAGAATATGGAAGGATGTTGACTGGAATGCAGTTCAATAACGCACACGACACACATTGACTTTAAAAAGGAAAAGCGGCATTGGAAATGGCTTTATGCTATGTGAAACAACAGGCATCAGCTCCTTCCATTGAAAAAAGAAATGGCGAAATTGTAGTCTCCAAATTTCCAGCCTTCATCAGAAAAAACAAACGAGTGAATTTTTTAAACATTCCTACTAATGGTATATAAAACTTTTGTAATAAATTTACACATTTAGTAAATGCTTAGTTTTAAAAGAGAACATTTCAATGATTTTAGAATTATTTTTCACTTTTCGCTTTTAACCGGAATTTCGATTAATCGGCTTAAACTCAGTCCCATTTATCTGACTTAAATCCTTTTGATATGCAATTCCTAAGGGATTCAAAGATTTTAAAGTTACTAATTATATATATTTTTGCTGGTGAAAATACTGGCACCAGCTCGTTTTTTATTATGTATTATTTTAACTTGATATGCTATTGGATTTAAAAAGAAAACGAATAACTATTTGAAATATTTTAATTTACGTTACTGGTACAAATACTAAAGCCTCGCAAAAATTTCTTTGAAGGGTTTGTAAAATTCATGTGCCTTCTTATGTACATTTAGGAAAGCGTTTAAGGCGACACTTTTCACTAATTATCTTTTACATTGTAACACATAATTTTAAATAACAATCTGAAAAAAAAAGTTTTTCACCATAAAAATGCAAGGAAATTTTCTTTTCTTTATTGAAACTTAGGAAGGAATTGGTAGATTATATAAAGACAAGAATTATAGTACTTACCAACCCATACGGCGGTGGCATTGTCTTCAGGGTCAAAAGGGCACTTGGCAATCCCATCTCCAATTCCTGGGAAATAGTCGTGGCTTCCCAGTCGAGTGAGGTTGGCCTACGAAAAATCCAGTTTTTATTTATTTACGCAACATATTAGTAAAACATACTTGAACATACAGTACAACTCCAATTATCCGAACACCGACTATCCGAATCGCTGATTATCCGAATAGCTTTCAGAATTTAAAAAAAACATTTAAGAGGGAAACGTAGTGTTGGACAATCAACGATTTCCTACATTAAAAGGAGCAAACCTACACTTTTAAACTTCGTGTCCCTGCTTGAAAACGAAGATAGAAGTTCTTTTTAGAAAATCAATGAAGGCAGCACAAAGAAGAATTTAGAAAATGTCATTTTCAAGCGGTTTTTGCAGCAATGCTCTATGGGGAAACCAAATCTCGGGTCTGATTCGTTGTCAAAAAGCTAAGAGCTTAACTCAGAAGCTTAGTTGTTCATCCATTAAAGCTAGTAACGGCAGGCACGGTGTCCGTTAAGCAACTTAGTTTGACCGAGATGTTCAGCAAGCAATGACTTTCAGCACTTGTAATTACTGTGCAGTACACTATATAACATGCACATACAAATATTGCCTTTTCATTTAAATTAACTAAAACCTCTTTTTCTTTAAAAATAGATTTTTTTTCTCATTTTCAATATACAATACATACAGTACTTAATTAAACTGTATGTAGGCCATTTCTTCGGAAAAAATCCAATTATCCGAATTTTTGATTATCCGAATGGGGTCCGGTCCGAGTTGATTCGGATAACTGGAGCTCTACTGTACTTGTATATCCTCTCAGAAATAAAGACACCGCACTGCTTCCAATTTATACCGCAGTGGGATTTTAAAATTGGCAAGAAAATAATAATTAAAGGAATTAATAAAAAACCTAAAAGGGCTCAGATTTTAATGGTCACCCAAAAGGATTTGTTAAAGTTTCCTACGCTCCCGCTGAGCTCGCAGTCTACCAGTCTGTTTCGCACTCAGAACTGCTAACCCATTTTTTTTTGTCTTTTTAGCTTTATTATTAACCACCATTTTATTCGCACTTACGCCATATACAATTCAACAGCAAAATTACAATAATTTTAAAAGCACCATGTGTTTAGCACCATGTTAACCCAATGAAGTGTTCAGTAGTGGTCTACATTTTTCTATTTTTTTTTCCAGTCTTTTCTCGGTTCAATCTATAGTTTTCTTAGTAAGATGACTTGCAAAACTTTTTTGTCTTTTATTACGTTCTGAGTGCTAAATTTATTTATTAAATATCATGTTCTTCGCATTTACGCCACATCAAATTCAGTTGAATAGTAAAATTACAAAATATTTAAAAATAGCATATCTTTAGAATTTCCGATATACCGTCTCGCCAGTTGGAGATAACACTGTTTTAATTAGTACAGTGTTGCTACTGCTCGCTTTCAAATCGTTGAGTTTGTTAAAAATTCATTAAATCTTCATAAAACTCGAAATTTAAAATTCGGGCTTCAAAGTGTACATGTTCGGGTGAAGGACTATGTTATTCAGAATACTATGGCCCTAGGTACTGTCTTTTTTTTAATGTTCGCAAAATATACATTGATTCATGCAGATTATTAATTAGTTAATTTCTTTAAAAGTAACACATGGCGATAATATTTCGTGGCAACAATCTGAAAAGTGATTCAGACAGTTAAAGTGATAGAATGCCAAATCTCGTTTCAAGTCTAATAGCACCCGCCAGCTAACGCTATTTTGGGCTTATAACAGCCGCTCTTAAGCTCTAGCTCAGCGATTTGAAAATTGGAAAACTATAAGAATAATTTTAAAAAATGAAACAATTATAGAAAAGGTACTGAAAAAAAAAAGACCTTTTATTTAAATTAAATCGATGCTAACATAATAAATAAGCTGTGCGATGGTATTGAGAATCTTTTTCTGATACACTATCATTTTTTATCTCAGTTTTACTGCCGCACGAGGGAAAATCATCTTCAGTAAGTGCAATTTAAATCATTAATAGCACATCATTCAAAAAATATCCGATTGGGAATAGGAGATTAGTAGAAATAAAATGATAAATACTCGCTTTGTATATTATATTAGATCTCGCCCTAATTTTACTTTAAAAAAATATCTGAATGAAATGTGTGGCTTAAAGTCGAAACATTACGGTATTACATTTCAACAAAGTGCGATTGAATTTTACGCTAACGGTTATCCCTCTTACTCCAAATATTTTATGCATATGCTAAAAAGTATGAGTAATATAACGAGTTTTGCATATCAAAGAAAACAATTACTATAAATGCTACATTATCAGAAATAACCTCCAATATCTTAGTTTTTATTTTCAATAGTTTCCATTACACAAATCCTCCAGAAATCACTGATTTCTAAGAGATATTTTGGCTTTAGCAAACTAACAATGAAAAATGCTCATTACGTTTTATTCTTACACTTTCCTAAAAGCGCAGCCTTTCAAAATTTATTAAAACATTTTTTGTACACTAAACCAGACATTATTCACTACAGAAAACTAGCTATAATATTATTTTTACAAGTAACACAGTAAAATTTGTGAAGTAGCATCAAGCATTTATTGAATACTCAGATTTTAAAGGAAATATTGCGTTCATTCCAAAGTAATGTTCTATATAGAAAATTTAAATATTCTGTCAGTGGAAAAAATAAGTACAGCTAATCTTATTAAAAATTTTACACTTTGATAAGCAGAGTTTAACGTTTTAAATGCTTGGTCCACGTGACCTCGAAAGTGAAGAAGCTATTCTCATGACATTCCAGTGAATTTCCGTGACTATTATATTATTACATTATGGTGAATGTTTGTGCGTAATGATATAACGTATAGTAAGAGTCAGCTATTGGAATTATTAGCTAACAGAATTATATATATATATAATAATAATGTGTATATATATATATAATTCTGTTAGCTAATAATAATGTATATATATATATATATATACACACACACATGTAATAGAAACAAATTTATAATTACTGACGTAGGAGCACTGAGACGTAGAAACGCAGAAATACTGATGGCGCAGATCTTAGATAGCACAGAACGTGTTTCTTATTGAAGAGGAAACTTGGCAGCAGAGTAAGATTAAACATTCATTTTTATTTCAATTGACATTTATAGCCATAACATACTTGGCACACTAATTGTACCTATTGAAGAACATTTACATGTTCGACCCTGTTGGGAAAGGAAGAGAGCACAGTGAAACAGCGTCAAAGCAGCAGCAGAGGTAGAAGCCAAAGTGCGCAATTTTTGAAGCATGGAGGCTCATCAAGAGAAGGTTTTTGTTTAACTCTTTGAAGGGCGTGGTTACCTACAGTAACCACCTCTTCTATTGAACGTTTTACTCACTCGTGTGAGTGGTTTTTCAAAATTGACCGTTTCTAAAGTTCCTGTCACATTCTTGCCACTAGGTGGCGGGCATCTCTTCCTTTACTTTTGCTGTAATTAAGTTCCGAGAAGCAGTCGAGATTGGAACCGCTCTGAGGAGCGTAAAGACGAAACCTCAGAACTTAAAAATGTACTGTTTAAAATAATTATCACTACCTTGTAAATAGTGTATATTAGCGTTTTCTTTGAATAAATAATTAAAAGACAAGATGGCCTGCTAATTGTAATAGAAACTCTTACTGGAAAACGTGATTATTAGACGCCTGGCGTCGAGAACACTGAAGATTGCAGCAGGTAAGGAATTTTACATTAATTTTATTGTAAATAGAAGAACCTGATGCAACATTTTTATGGCGCCCGAACAGGGACTCGAGGTTTTTTGAAAAGTTCTAATAAAGTGAATTCAAAAGCTGAATATTAAAATTGAAGATTTTAATACTTGTTCTTGAAGTATTCAGCAAAAGAATAATTTTGTTTTCTAAGTAAGAGTTAAATATTTGTTTTTCATGAGACGTATATTTTTTGTGTAAATGTTTGAATCTAAGAAAGATAATGGCTGAAGTAGATAAATTAAAAGAAGAAAGAAGTATCTTAAGAACTGGCGTTACAAAACTATTTAAGAAAATCGAAAGTGAATTAAATAAATCTGAAGGTAGTATTAATGAGCTCGAAGAATTGTTAGAACAGCTTAATGCTAAAACCGAAACGCTATCTAATGCCGATGTGGAAGTTGAACAATTCTGAGTGTAGATGAATTCGAAAATGAATTCGAAATTACAGAACAATATCGCAAGAAGATAACGTTATGGAAATTCAGGCTTAAGAAATGGATTAAGGAACTTAATCATGACTTAAATGCACCGAACACACAGCAAAATATAAAAGATACACCTAATGTTAAATTACCAAAACTTTCGATTCCCGTATTTTATGGGAACAGTAGTCAATGGCTTACTTTTTGGAATAGTTTTGAGTCCTCAATACATAATAACGAATCATTGAACAAAGTAGACAAATTTAATTACCTGAAAGCATATTTAAGAGGAACAGCTGCTAGTTGCGTTCAAGGACTTCCGTTATCGCCGAAACATTATGATTCAGCAATTCAAATCTTACACGACCGTTTTGGAAGGAGAGACATTCTTATTAATGCGCACATGAATAATTTGCTGAATATTGAATCATTAAAAAATGCGAATGACATAAAAACATTTCGTAACTTGTATGATAAAGTACAAACACAGATTAGATGTCTCGAAGCGTTAGATGTTGTATCGGAATCTTACAGTGCTTTGCTGTGTCCGATGATTTTGAAGTTATTGCCTTCAGAATTAACGCTTGAATTTCATAGAACACAAAATGTTGGCACCGATTATAACATAAAAGATTTAATGTCATTTTTACACGCAGAACTTTCATCCCGTGAACGCACAAGGTCAACGCTTTCGCAACAGCAAAAAGTATCCGATCGGCGACAGTCTTCTTCCCCCCCCCCTGCAACGAAAAGCGCATATGCTCTCTCACAAATAGACATAATAAACCAAAGATTCCGACCGCTACAGATTTGTTTACAAAATCCGAATGCAGAGGGAAAATATGAACTGCGTCTTCTGTAATCAATTTCCACAAGACT